GTCCACCCAGAGCCTCCCAAAACTCGTCGGAAGTCCAGTCTCCGCCCGGAGCCTCCTGAGACTGGAGTGTCTCATGTCCACCCAGAGGCTCCCAAGAGTCGTCGATCGTCCAGTCTCCGCCCAGAACCCCCCAAGACTGGAGTGTCTCATGTCCAACCAGAGCCTCCCAAGACTCGGGGGTCCATTTCTAGCCCGGAACCTCCCGACACTAGTGTGGTGTCCAATCTCCTACTAGACATACTGAAACTGCTGGATTCCCAGAAGGAGCTGAAGGACGTATGGGCTCGTTGTGAGGCCCGGGTGAAGGCAAGCGAGAAACCCGCCCAGTCTGATAAATACCTTTCTGCAGAAGTCATCCAGCAGCTTCCCGAGGTTTTCCTGCTTCCCGAGATTCACTTATCGAATCTCCGCGTAGAGTCTCTCAAGACTCGTCGGGGGTCCCGTCTCCGCCCGGGGCATCCGAAGACTCGTCGGGTGTCCCGTCTCCGCTCCGAGCATCTGAAGACTCGTCTGGGGTCCCGTCTCCACCCGGAGCCTCCCAAGACTCGTCGGACGTCCATTCTCCACCCGGAACCCCCCAAGACTCATCGGGGGTCCAGTCTCCACCCAGAGCCTCCCAAGACTCGTCGCAGGTCCAGTCTCCGTCCAGAGCCTCCCAAGACTGAAGTGTCTCATCTCCACCCAGAGCCTCCCAAAGCTCCAGTGTCCGAACAATTATCGGAGCCTCCCAATATTCGAACGTGCTTTCTAAACGCACTGTTTCCGGAAGATAGCACAAGGAAGGGTTCTCCTAAATTTAGATACACATCGGAAGAACTCCGTGACTTCTTCAAGTGGACTGAAGAAATGGGAGCTGATGAAGAATCCATCAGGGATCTCTTTGATTTTACCCCCGAGTGCAAACCAACCTGTTACGACCTAAAGCTGAAGAAGATAAACGAGTGTTACTCAGAACTGAAGTACAGCATGGAGCTAAGTGAAAAGGATGAGGTCAAATTCTTCTTACAGGAACAAGTCTGGAACAGGAAAACACCAAAAGCACCCAATTCTTTTACTGCGCAGCCTGTGAAGATGAGGTATGGAGCATGGTACCTCAAGCCTAAGTTGTGGAGAAAGCTAAGAAGTGATGAACCTTTAATTGACCCCAAGCTGTTACTTAAAAAGCCTCATAAACCCGACATTCTTGACGAACTTTACGGACCGATCGCCTTTAAGGATTTCATTCTAAGCAAGGGCTACAAAATGCCTGGCGTCATTGAAAAGCTGTTTACCAGGATGGGATGGAAATATGACACTGTTAAGACTCCTATGGAACGTGTAACAAAATATTTCAAGTACAAGCCAGAGGACACAAATGTATCGGAAGAAAATTAGATGGTTTTCAATGGGGTATTTCTTGCTCTCATTTTAAACATCAATCAAAATTTATGATGACTGGCCTGGTAAGTGTACAACTTTGGCAACATCTGTAAATTCAGTATCTAATGTTTATACACATTTCTTAATCACCTGCTTTGGCTTCATTATTTCATATATTTTATCAATTATCTGATTAATATCACTGTGAATATTACATCATAATGTCAATTATTTGTAAAAATACATAAAACCAGAAACAAAAGAATTATCCTTAAACAGAGAAACGGGGTCAGGCACATAACCCTCCCTGCTTTTGGATGCATAGGTGTGCCTATCACTTAAGCCCAGGAGTTCCAGACCAGCCTGTGCAACATGCTGAAACCTGGTCTTTACAAAAAAAAATGCAAAAATTAGCCAGGTGTGGTGGTGTGCATCTATAGTCCCAGTTACCCAGGGGGGGCTGAGGTGGGAGGATTGCTTCAGCCCAGGAGGTGGACACTGCAGTAAGCCATGATCCTGCTACTGCACTCCTGTCTGGGTGACAGAGCAAGATGCCATCTCACAAAAAAAAAAAAAAAAAAAAAAAAAAAAACAAATATGCTGAGTAAAAGAAGAATTGTATAACTCTTCTTATATTAAAATTGTAGTGAAATAATTATGACAATTATTTTGTTTACCAAAAATTTGAGTCTATAACCAAAATAATGTTAATACTTTTTAATATTAAAATTGTTATCTTCCTCTTTGGGATGCCATCCAACCCCCAAAAACAAGTTTGAAAACTATGAAAATCATAATGAAACTTGAGTTATGCCATTATATCTCTCAATTGAATGTTTGCGAATTTTCATCATGTTCATAAACCTTCACTACAAAAGACTATTACCAAATAATATGAACAGGTACAGAATATGAGGTAGCTACAACTTCTTGGCAAATCTCATGTGCAAAATAGATCTGCATGACAAAAGCTACCAAGTGACATCAAATATCCTTACATGTCTGTTCAAGTTCAAATAATTTTCATTTCACTAATAGCAATTTAAAATGCACTCATAAGTTTAAAATAATAAATCAAGCAACTTCGTTACCCTTCAAAAATAACAGTTAACACTGGCGGAGGTAAATTTGTAGCTAAATGTAGTTGTAGTACAGATCTGTAGTGCACTTTTTCTTTCAGTGATGAAAGAATCCATCTGTAAATGGAAGTATATGCATTTATTTCATCTAAGTAAGGAGTGATATATACATCTGTCTATGTGCAAACTCTGTAGTGAAGCTTGTCTGTGGGCAGTGTGTTCCTGAAGAATAAGTTTTTTATGTTGTTTGCTCAGGCAAGGTCTAGAATTTCTCTTCAAATTCATCATCATAAACTTAGGTTCATATCACCACTGTATCTTATTGGATCTGCAACAATTTCCAACCCGTGTCTCTTCTGGAATGCATTTTTATAAAATACAAGCATGGCTTGTTAATTCTCCAGGCTCCTCTAAACTTATCTAGGTACATAAACACCCATACACACATGCACAGGCATACATGCACATGCTCCTGCATTCCAGACTACAATCAGTATTCCTTTTCTTCTGTATCTTTCTTGTGTCTTCATACGTAATTTTCACTATTGTTAGGACTTCACTGAGGCCATGTAATTCTGTTTCAGTTTCTCCCCACCAACGTCAGTTTCATGATTACTTTTATTAAGATCTTATGTATGTAGACAGGGACACTTATTTCCCAGTTGTCTTCCACTGAAGAACTCACTTCAATATCCTAGAGAAATTAGTCATGAATGGCTTCAAAATAAGGGAAATCCCCACACTTATTTATTCAGACTTCAGAGAGGCCAATGTCATGCCTCACGGCTCAGAGATATCTGGTTTCTTTTTTTCTTTTTCTTTTCTTTCTTTTTTTTTTTTTTTTTTTTTTTTTTGAGATGGAGTCTTGCTCTGTCACCCAGGCTGGAGTGCTGTGTCATGATCTTGACTCACTACTACTTCTGCCTCCTGGGTTCAAGCAATTCTTCTGCCTCAGCCTCCCCTGTAGCTGGGACTACAGGCACACACCACAATGCCCAGCTAATTTTTGTATTTTTAGTAGAGACAGGGTTTCAGCCCATTGGCCAGACTAGTCTCGAACTCCTGACCTCGCGATCTGCCCCTCTCAGCCTCCCAAAGTTCTGGGATTACAGGTGTGAGCCACTGCACCTGGCTGAGTTATCTGGTTTCTCAAGTTCTCCACTGAAGCTTTGGACTTCATGCAGCAGCATTCAATGTTAAGTTCCTTTCAGCAAGAGACAGACCTAGTTTTCCACATTTTGTTATGTGACCTTGCACTTCACAGAGGATGTTTCCTCATCTACACAATGGACACCATATGATGAAACTCCAATTCTGGTGAGACTTAAAGGATTACTTATTAAAGTGCCTAATGCCTCAAAAATCATAGAATTGATACTCAACATATATTTGTGGAAAGAGAGGGAGTAGGAAAGGAAGAAGGGTCCTATAAAAATCACAACAGAAAGACAGCAGTAAAATAACTTTTTGGTGGTGTTTATCTGATGACAGCCTTTATTACACACAAACAGCCTTTGCTTAAGATGAAAAAGTACTGCTTGCTTTGACTGCACATGTACTAAAATTAAGATGAAAAAGTATAATTAAAAAATAAGAGCCACTGGTTAGGGCTTCTATTGCTTATTGGCAATGACTACTTCCAGTGAAATAAACTTTCCTCAGAGAAATTATGCGGGTTTCTCCACACTGCAATTATACTTATTGGTATTATTTGTCACACAGATATAAACAGAAAAAATAACTGATCTTTTTTGATTTTTAACACCAGTTGGCTTTCTGAAAACATCCAGATTTTGAATCCGTAAGTTTTAGAAAGAGAGGGAATTCAAGAGAAGTTGATATATAACTGTCCCTGTGTAGCCTAAAGCTATGAATGGTATATTCCATAAATGCTGTAATAATTCTATTACAGCATCACATAGATTTCATAAAGGCTTTGGAGAATTGGACTGAAGGAACATGTGATTTAACAAAAATGATGGCAATTATTTTTCATTTATCAGAGTCTGCATGAATGAGCAAGGCCTTTGGAGCTAGGCAAAAATGAGTTCATATCCCAGTGCTGCCATGCTCTTATCCTGAAGCTTTAGGCAGAGGCAGAACAGGTGGACGGAAAACACAGAGGGTGGAAGCTAGGAACCCTTCCCAGAGCCACCACGCACTAGAATGTGTTCCTGGCCCCTAATAACTTTTACAAAGGAGATGTGTTTAAAACGCAACCCAAGGCAAGAAGCAACCCATTCTCACTGTAGACCTTTGGAATCTCAGCATGAGGAGACTCCTCAACCACCATGGACACTTGAGTTGGCAGGGAAAGTTTCTTAGAGAAGTGATAGCGGCACAACTCCAGCCAGGGACAGAGTGCAGAGGATGTCCCGTAGCAGCAACTGTAGTGGAGCACTCTCAGAGGCATCAATCTCCCTAGGCTAGAATCACTCTCATAGGACAATTTAGCCCCAGAGGAACTTTTGGACCTCAACTCTACAGGGCAATCTCATTCATGAGACAGGACCAGTCCAACCAGAGCACCTCTCAGTCTGCTGGCCTCCTGCAAGGCCCCAGCCTGGCCACAGCTGCTTGCAGCTCAGCTGCCAGGTGCCTCCTGAGGCCCACATCATAGCTGGTGGATCACGCCTGACTGGCAGAGTGACCTCTGCAGACAAACAAGAGCTCATTTGCACCTTCCACATCGTTATGCCTGTGACTGTATGCCCAGACAGACCTAGCCTTCCCTTCCCCACCAGTACACTGGTACTGGAACTCCTACACCTTGTCTTGCCATTGCTGCTGGCATGATTGCACCCCCTCACCCCTCCTCACACCTCACCACACAACCATTGTCTTCAGAACATTGGCGGGCTCAGAGCACCCCAGACCCAACCCTGCTAGCACCCTGCTCCTGAGCCTGGGTCACCAGAGCAAAACTAGGCATGGAAAACAGTAGACAAGCCCCAGCCTTACGCAGACTGCTGCCAGCGTGAACATGCAGAGGGCACACAAAGTCCTACACCCACCAATGCTCCACCTCCATGCTAAACCGACATGCACACAGTCTCAGTGGAGACTCGTCATTCCCACCAAGCCATATGGCCACCACTGCTGCTGCAAATGTCCACATACCCCAGGACCATGAGAACCCTACTGCAGCAAATGGAGTGTGCACTCTTCAATGCTGCTGCTGCTGCCACTGCTGCTGATGACACATGGGAACAAGGACAGATCCCACTGTCACTGCACTGTGAAGTGCTCTGGCTGACACCCTCAACTGGAGTGTTGTGACCAGTGGTCTGGTAGCACCTCAGCCTCTTCAGTATAACAGGTTCGTAAACTAGAGGAGCCAGAGATCAAAGGTGGGGACTGATACCAGTCTACCAGAGTTACAGCATGAGATCCAGGCAGGAGTTCTGAGCTGAGCCTTGGCCCCTGAAAGTTTTCAGTCATGAGGTCAGTTGACTGAATCTACCTTATATCACAATCAAACCCCCACAGTCATCAAACAGGATGAAAGAAAAGAAAATAGCACATCCACAGGAAAGCAACTTCAAAAATTTAAGAAACATCAGCCCACAAAGATGAGAAAGAACCAGCACAAGAACTCTGGCAACCTAAAAAGCCAGAGTGTTTTCTTTTCTCCCAATGACTGCACTGGTACTCCAGAAGGGTTCTTAATTATACTGAGGTTTCAGAAATGACAGAAATATAATTCAGAATATGGATAGGAGCGATCATTGAGATTCAGGAGGACACTGAAACCCCATCCAAGGATCAAGGAATTAATATAAAATGACATATGAGCAGACAGATAAAATAGCCAGTATAGAAAACAATGAATCTGACCTAACAGAGGCAAAAAACACTCTACAAGAATTTCATAAAGCAAATCCTAAGTATTAGAAGCAGAATAGATCAACCTGAAAAAAGGGATCTCAGAACATGAAGATGGGCTTTCTGAAATAAGACAGTCAGACAAGAATAAAGAAAAAATAATATAAAGGAATGAATGAAACTATCCGAGAAATATGGGATTATGTAAAGAGACCAAATCTACTATGTTTTGGTGTCCCTGGAAGAGATGGGGAGAATGGAAGCAACTTGGAAATCATAATCCAGGATATAATTAATGAGAACTTCCTCAATCCAGCTATAAAGGCCAATATTAAAATTCAGGAAATGCAGACAACTCCTACAAAATAT